TGAATGCCTTATAAATAAAATAAAACTTTAGCATTAAACTATCTATCGTATTTCGTTGAAAAGAATTGTTTGTAAAACGAGAAAAAAAAACATTGAAAAGTTAATAAATGCCTTTAAAAAGTTGTCAATTTCGCGAGAATTTTAACTCACGAATGTTATGATGAATGTTATTCAAATTAACAACAAATTCTCAAATTTTGCATGCATCGAATCATCCCAAACCATGCAGTAGTGGAGTACATTTTCAAATATTAATATTTATAAATTAGAAAATAATATTTTAAAAAAAGAAAGAAATCTTACTTTACTTCAAGTTGATATTTTACCTCATTTTTAAAATTAACATAGAGGGCCCTTTTTTAAAAAGGACTAAATTTAAATTAACAGCTATAAATAATTGTATGAATTCACACTCAACAGTTATATAAAACTAGCTTTTTCAGCTGAAAAATTTGCTATAAAATACTACATTACGAAAAACGCTTCAAAAATCGGTTAAATTTTTTTCCCGTTTTTTAGAAAAATATATTTTTCCGTAAAATGAAGCATAGAGTATTTACTTTAGATTTCTTGTTCTCAATTTGTGAGTTTTATTTAATTTATACGTTTATTTTTTAGCATTTTTCTTGACAAACTAACTTTAAAAAGTACTCTTAAAGTTAATTCTTAAATAATAAATTCTGTTTAAGAAAAGGTTATCGATTTAAATAATCATATTAATGTGCCCTTAACAGGAAGTGGTATAAACACCAAATAACAAAGAGAGAAACACGATTTATATAGTATTTTAATCATTTTATCGATATAGTCTTTAAAACTAGAGCTCCCTAATGAAAGAATTAGTCTTAAATACCAGAAACAGCATTAAACTGCAAGTAAATAAATAAATAAAAATAATAACCATGTAAAGATAAATACTGCATTTAACTCGATTTAATTCGAACCGAGTGCAAACGATCAGAATTCTCCTGAAAAGCTATCGTTGCCATCTAACAAAAGAAATCGTGCGGAGAAGATCAAACAAACAAGAAAAATCTATCATAATTGCTCAATCAAAAACCTTTCAACCTGTCATTGCTTTTGAAATGTAACATAAACGTTTGTAAAAAATCCCTTCATTTACGAAATTAAAAAAAAGAAGTAGAAAAAAAATTAAAAGTAAATCATAGTTCGACTGCTTATTATTGTTCGAGATTAAATCGTCTGCGGGTTTTTAATTTGTACCTAGTAAATGAGATATCTTAACTCGATGTAGATTACGGAACTATTTTTTTGGTTAAGTCTTTAACCGCTAAATGGAAAGGCGTGTAAGTTCAGTCATAAAAAAAAAAAGAAGCAAGGAAAAAGAAGGACTGAAAATTAAGATTAGCAATTGATAGCAGCACTCGATCTTCCAGACTGACGAATTAGTGAGCTACAAAATAAGATATTTTAATATTCTCAACGAAGAACATTACAATTGCACATAATTTTAGCTAAACTAAAAATGTTTTTCTTTTTGTTAAAAAGTTCACGTATTATCAAGCTTTAAATTTTCAATTATTGATACGAAATTTACTATCTTTAATTTGGATGCTTAACTTAGAACAATTTTAGTATCGACATTTGGGTATAAAATTTTAAAAGCATATCTTTGTTTCTGGAATGAATGGGAGTGATAGGGTATAATTATGTAAATATTAATTATGGAAACGAAATTGTGTTATTTTTCATCAATTAATTCGAGAACTGCTCGGAAAATAGAACGTGTGATTCTAGAACAAACGACTATGGCTTGAATTCTGGAGAAATGTTGGATGTATCCATTACGCGATGCGAAAAATATCCTCAGTAACAAAACATCCGAGTGGCTTACTTGGAATAGAAATTTCATTGTCTTATGAGTTGGGTTCAAAATTACAAAGTTACAGATGTCATATCCACTTAATAGTTTTTAACGTTAAACGGCGCAATAATTTTCGTACGAATTAGAAACATCAGCACCGTAGCTGCTTTTATAAATTTCGCCTAAAAGACTATTATTCTGTAACGTTAACACGCATTTGGAAAAAAGTATTTTTTTTTTAAATTTAAACTATTTCAGTTTTTGTTTACTTTTTTCTTTTATAAATAGATTTAAGAAGAAGTTTTTTTTTATCTGTATATACATTTTTAAGTTAAAAATTTGCAAAATTTTTATGTTTCCTTTTCTGTTTTATAATTCAAAGGGAAATTATCAAAATACAATTAAATTTGAAATTCTTATTGCTAATTTATAAAATATAAATTTCTGATTTAAATGTGAAATATATTTTTTAGTTAACTTGAACTTGAAATTTGCTGTATTAAAAACGACAAACAATGGATTACAGATTGAGCTGATTATAAATTACCTGCTCTTATTTCACATTTTAATTGTAAGTAATCAGAAAAATAATACTCAATTATTTAATTTAAATCGCCAAGCGATATATTGAATTTATTTATTGAATTTATTTTTATTGCAGACTCTTAATAATTTTGCATTAGTGTTATTTTCATCAAAATTAGTATAAAAACTGTTTATAATATTAAAACATTGGTTATTAGGTATTGGTTATTATGTTTTTTATGTTTGTTTTCAATATAAAGGCTTAGTTCTTAACATTAACTTATAAAATTTCAAATTTAAGTCAAAAATCAATATTTTATAAATTAGCAATAAGAAATCTAAATTTAATTGTGTTATTGATAATGTCCCTCTGAATTATTAAACAGAGGAGAAAACATAAAAATTTTGTTAATTATTAACTTAAAAAGGTATTCAAAATATCTTTATAAAAGGCCTTGTTTTCAATATAATCGCTATAGAAGAGTATCAGAGGCATTGTTTTCAATATAATAGCAGTAGAAGGGTATCAAAGGTATTGTTTTCAATATAATAGTTATAGAAGAGTATCAAAGGCATTGTTTTCTAAAAAGATGTAGAAGGCATTGTATAACTATTATGCAGAGTATCAAAAGCATTGTTTTCAATATAATAGCTAGAAAAGAGTATCATAATAAGAGTATTAAAATTCTCAGAAGAAAACCCAAATAATTTTATTTAAATTATTTGGTAATGTTTTTTTCTTCCTTTTTTTGTAAGGGGTGTAGTAAAGTTTTTGTCTTTCAAAATAGGCGGTGATAAAAGATCTATGATCTAGAATTTCATCATAAAGTATTCTGTAGACTAGATAGGAATTAGCTAAATCAATTCTAGAACGTCTGAATAAAGATGAGAGGGATTATCAAGAGCTTTATGAGGGATTTACCTATTCTGCGTTAGTGCAGTGATTTTAATACAGCTATTTGAATTAACTTACAGCTCTTTTTTAGTAGATTTAGGTTAAGTTACACTGGTTCTATGATCAAGTTCATGATTTCAGTTCCAATTTTAGAATACCAGGTTCACTCGAACTTTTTCGTTGATTTTGTATTCTTGCCAGTCACGGTTGTCACCCTGTCTTTGAAATATCATATCTCTTGCAAAAAAACACAGACACTGCCACTGTGTCTCGTATACGCCCAATGAGTGATTCCAACGAAGGAAAAATAATAAAGGAAGAAAAAATTCGGAAGGCAGGATCATCATTTATATTTTGTTTGACGACTTTGTTTTATTTGTCGCTGTTCTGGAGCGAGAACTAAAATACACCTTTTTCCCAGATTGTACTGTCACTGGAGCTTTTTTTTTCTGCTTCCTCTTTTTAATCTACCATCCATTTAAAGTGTACATTTGGAACAAAAGAAACGAAGTGTGGTGTGGAGGTTTTCAATGCGGTGACACCTGTAGGAGAAGGAGTTCAGACGATGACTTCTTCCACCCAACATGAAGCACTCCGTGAAGGCTGTTTCTAAAAAAGAACATAGAAGGGCATGAAAAATGAAATCTTCTGTTCTCTGGGATCTCTAATCAAGAAAAGCTCTATTAATTTGATCACCATTTAACTGATTTTAAGGATATCTTTTTCTTGGACTATCATAAATCTTTTTTCTTTTTTTTATGAATGACAAAGAAACATGATGTTTCAAAGTTAAGTGGAAAACCAAACATAAGAATCGTTTCTTTAGTATGCATTGTATTGTTAATCGTATTTCATAGTCCTTAATTTAATTTTAGAAAAAGAAGTTAGTTCTTATTTCTCAAAATGACATAGTTGTAACTTTTTGGTAACGACAACGATTTTTGTTTTGATAACAGTTTCCTTCCGCTACGATATCATTTACTAAACCTCTTACGCTACCCCTACGATATCATTTTGTAACTCCTGCTCTCTTTTCCCTCCAATGTCAGTCTGTGAATCTTCTCTTCTACCTCTCCAATATCATTCTGTGAATCTTCTCTTCTACCCTTTTGATATTATTCTGTGAATCTTCTCTTCTACCATTCCAATATCATTCTGTGAAACTTTTCTTCTACCTCTCCAATATCATTCTGTGAATCTTCTCTTCCACCCTTTCGATATTATTCCGTGAATCTTCTCTTCTACCTCTCCAATACCATTCTGTGAATCATCCAATATCATACCTTTGAATGACCAAAGCTCTAATTTCTGCACAGAGAAAAAAAAATTCTAGTAGAATCACCGAGCTTGTTTGGTAATGCAATTTCTTGTACAAAAAAAAAAAAAAAAAAAAAAAAAAAAAAAAAAAAAAAAAAAAANTTAAAAAAAAAAAAAAAAAAAACATAATTCTGGTAGTAAAATTAAAATTAACGATACTTAAACCATTCATTTGGTAATTTTTCCATTCATATGGCAACAGCTCACCTGGAATTTTGGTTTTCAAAATTATAGCTCTTATCACCATATTTAATGATAATACAAACCTGAAAAAGTAAAATTACCATATAAAGGATTTTTATGCCATGCTCTATGATATCATCATAAAATTACCAAGATATTCCTCAGAACTTTTCTTCATTTTACTTATTGATTAGTAATTTTAACCTTTTGATGTTTAAGCCTTTTATCAAATAAAATTGTAGCGGACTTGTTTACTCTTCTATAGTTTATTTAAAATGACAGTTTATTTAAATGGCGGAACGGTAATTAATTATTTATTTTATTAACTTATTTCTCGATCAGAGTGAAAATAGGCACAAATAATACTTTCAAGTGTTTTAAAAATACTATACTCTGATAGAACAAGCTTTGTTGCCTGTTGTATGCATCTTTTATGGGAGTAGTGGGATTTTTTTTCCACTTACATGTGGGGGTTTCCTTGTAAATACAAATAATAGCTTAAAATATCTTTTCAACTTGAAACAAAAACAGATACCGCAAGGTTGAGAAAGGCTTCTTGAAAGAAAAAAAAAAGAGGAATTAAAGGATGAAGAACGGCGAGACGAAAAGAAAAGAAATTATTTAATCTTGATTTATATTCCTTTCTTAAACTTAAGTAATCTGGATTAAAGTAAATGTGAAATCAGATTTATAATAAGAATAAGGCTCAAAGAAAAAAAAATTAAATCAGAAAAAAAGATAAATAAACGCAAATGGTAAAAAGGAGAAAAAAATGCTTGTTTTAAACCGTAAGAGATTTAGTGGTGTCTATGGTTTTCCCCTTAGGATTTCGCATCGTTACTTTCAAAACGAGTTCAACAACAAATAATTAAACATCCGCCTCCAGCGGAAGACACGCCACATTTAAAACATTCGTAAAGAAAAGAAAGTTTTTTAAAACGTACCGCAAAGAGGGTCTTAAGCTGAAATCCCCCTATCTTATCCGGTCGCGTGGCCAACACGTGACATCTAACACCCTTTCTTAATACATGAAAAAGAATAAAAATCGTCTGCCTCTTCCCCTGTTGATCAGGAGACAGAATTTATTTTTAGCATCTAATTCCAGGGGAAGGGAAGAGCGAGAGTTAACTGCAACCGTTGGCTGCCTAGGTAAGAGATTCTGGGAGAAGTGAAAGCAAGCAACTTGTGTGTCCGCCGACCCCTCTCTGTAGTAGTTGTTACAGTTTCGGTTTGAACAGTTTTTTTTCCTTCCCCTGTGAGGGTTGAGGGAAAGGGGCAACATCTGGTGAATTGTGTTGAAGTGCACGTGGAGTTGATTGCTCACACCTGAAATCTGAGTTTTTTTTTATGCCTGGTTAAGGGATACATCTGACTTGTAAGTGTGACTTATAATGAATAAATTCTAATGATTACTCATTATATTATAATATGGAGATTCAAATGATAACTTATTCAAGTATAATATGTAGATTCAAATGATAACTTAATAAATTTTAATATGTAGATACAAATGATAACTTTTTAAAGTATAATATGTAGATTCAAATGATAACTTAATAAATTTTAATATGTATATTCAAATGATAACTTATTAAAGTATAATATGTAGATTCAAATGATAACTTATTAAATTTTAATAGGTAGATTCAATTGATAACTTATTAAATTATAATATGTAGATTCAAATGATAACTTATTAAATTCTAATATGTAGATTCAAATGATAATTTATTAAGTTATAATATGTAGATTCAAATGATAACTTAAAGTATAATATGTACCTAGATTCAAATGATAACTTATTGAATTTTAATATGTAGATTCAAATGATAACTTATTAAAGTATAATATGTAGATTCAAATGATAACTTATTAAATTTTAAAATGTAGATTCAAATGATAACTTATTAAATTTTAATATATAGATTCAAATTATAACTTATTGATTCAGATTATAATATGTAATGTCAATTGATATCTTGAAGTTTTAAATGATTATTGGTAGAATGTTAACTAATAGATTTTTTTAATGAATGGTTTCAAATTAGCACTTAAATATTTAATTGACAATCGATTCAAATAAACAGCTTATAGATAGTGTTAATTTAAATCTTTTTAAGTTTATAAAATTGTAGCTTTAACCCCTTGACGCAGAGTATTTGTAAAACATATTTTTAATATTTTTTTTATTTTGCATTCATTTAGGTCAAAATAAGTAAAACATATAATATGTAGCGTTTTTAAAATTCATGATTATGATATAAAGCATGAAACGCTGGTTTTTTTCTGCTTTCAAGGTGAAATCTTCCAGAAACGGTTCATTTACAAACAATGATTTTTCCAATTGGCATTTATTTGTAGTTACTTAGATTTAAGAGAAACAGTTATTCATCATTGAATTTTCTCAATTATTAATAAATTTTTAAATAGGAATGAAGAAAAAAATTTAAGCTACTTTTTTTTGTATTTTAAAATTTAGTTCAAATATAATTTAGATAATCTAACATATTTTTTTAGTAATTGTTAGACTGTTTATAATTGAAAAGTACCAAAATAAATTTTTGCTTATAGTTAGAGAGTCAGAAAAAAAAATTATTGAAGGGACACCCATGTCCCATTTGCCACAAAGGACAAAGTGAGTAAACAAATCGGTGCACCGGTCATTAATTTCTGTTTTGTTTTTGAGAATCGTGCAAGTTTTAAGTTTCAACCCTGAGCCAATTTTACAATTACAATAAAACATTCTGTAATGGTTTTATTTCACTTTATTTTCCAGTTTAAATGATAACTTGTTGGCTTAAAAGTTAAAAGATTCAAATGATAACTTGAAGGCACGTTGGCTTAAAATGAGTAAACAAGTGTATTTGTTTTGTAAGGCATTTAATTTCTAAATGTTTCGTCGATTATTATGAAAATTTTGACTTGAAACTGTGAATTAATTTTACAGCTTCTTAAATATAATTTGTATTCAACACAATAATGGTAATGAAAGCAAATAAAAGGTAACCATTCATTTGGTAATCTTTCCGTTTGTATGGTAAACGTTTACCGGAAATTCTGGTTTTCAAAATTATAGTTTTTATTATTGTACATTTTGTAAAATTACTAGTAGGATGAAGGAAAACTGGTAAATTTAATCAATTAATATTGGTCCTATATAAGGCCAATATCGGCCTATGTACAACAAAATAGGGCATATATTGGCTGAATAATGACTATAAATTATCAGATGAATTTGACAACTTTATATAAGGCCAATATTGGTTGTAAAGTGGCTGTAAAATATTGCTTGAACAGGACAGTTTTATGGAAAGCCAATATCGGAAAATAACGGCCCTTTAAACGCTTATTGAGCCAAGACTCGTGAATATTGGCCCACATTATTTTGCTGCTAGAGAAAGGAAGGAAACATATTTTCAATGTACTTAATTTCTGAGAGGAAATAAAAGAGGAATTAAAAACTTAACGGAATTGCTAGTATTTGGATAATTTCCTATCATTTCTTATATTAAAAATTGGGTGTCAAGACGGGAATAGGAAGTTGAAGATTAAATGAATAAATTCGGGGAAAAAAATGTTTTAAAATAACAAATTGGTTCATGTAAACATAAATGGATATTTCTCGATAATTCTTCACGCTTAATCTAAGCCAATTTTTTATTCAAAACCATTTCGAACATAATATGTAAATTAATTTCTCTCCAGAAGTGTAAATTATACAAGGTGTAAATTAATCCCTCCAGCAAGTTCAGTTACTTAAAGTAACGAAGTAGTCACTAACTACATTTCGAAGGTGGTTTGTAATCACTACATTTATAAAAAAGTAATTGTAGTTGTAGTAATCATCAAAAATAATGTAGTTTATCCGACCGCTGCTCAGTACGTGCTCATGACTGTGACGTATTATTTCAACTCCCAACTGGGTTGCCGACACGATGACGTATGACATTCGGACGTTTCTTCCATACTGACAACATATAGTTGCGCTAAGTATGGATCATTCATTATTATTTTATACCCATGGTATTCGCAGCATGTCGCTTGCGACATGAAACCTCAACAGACGACATCTTTTTTAGTGAACGACAACAATGGAGGTTGAGCTCAATGTCATCGTAATAAACCAATGTGTCGACACCTGTAAGCATATGGATGATTGGGAATCCATTCCTGTATTTTCTTCATTTATTTTTCGTCTGGCAGGAGGGCCCCGTCGTCCTTTTATGGATGGCCTGGAAAATGCTGTCTCAGTTTTGTACGGCCCGGTAAAGGCTGTTTGAGTTATGGAATACATTCATCTCTAGAATACAGGCTATTTGTTACGGCGACTGACAAAGCGATAACACGTGGTCNTTTGTTGAAGTTAAATCTCAAAATAATGGTTATGATATTTCCAAAAAATATTTTGAAAACGATATTTGCCTCTCAATTTGTTGAAATTAAATCTCAAAATAATGGTTATGATATTTCCAAAAAATATTTTGATAACGATATTTGCCTCTCAATTTGTTGAAGTTAAACCTCAAAATAATTGTTATGATATTTGCAAAACATGTTTTGAGACAAACTTTATTTAGTGTTCATCCCCGGTAATTAAAAAAGTTTTTATTTGTGTAATTTTTTTTTTAAATACTAATAATAACACGGAAAAAGAGCAGTTTTTACCTGTCAAAAAAGCTGAAGAATAGATACATGATTTCCAAAAAGATGAAGAGTTTATTTTAGTAGTGACAACTGGATAAAAAGAAATAAAGTGGTTCAAAAAACCTTATGTCTATTTAAGTTATTTACTGTTACAACAACTACTAGTTTTTTATGAAAATTTTTTCCACCTTTAGCTAGAAAGAACTTTCTTTTCTTCTTTTTTTCTTCTTTTTAAATAAACGGAAACTTAATTTGGAAATTTCATGGACACTTTAATTAACATTTGAATGCATTTTATTATTTTCAAAAGCACATTTGTTTTTGTAGTTTCTATTAGATCATTATTCAATTTCAAGTTTATTTCTTTTAGAACCTTAATTAGTCTAGAAATTCAATTTGTGATTTCAAAAACGTGTTTTACCACTTAAATAAAGTTTTGCATTCTTTTTACAATTAAAAACTAATTTAAATATTTTCTTGATATCAAGTTAAATTCTTTAAAAAACATTTTAATTAATCCAAACTTTTAATAAGTCATTTTTCAACGTACCATTTAGTAGTATCTTTCTTTATATATATAAATATCATTATTTTATTTATTTATTTTTATCTGTTTTTTTATTGGTTTTTATCGCAACTTAGTTTAATGTCATATTTAATTCTCTTAAAATTTTAATTCGTTTAAAAATTCTAACAATTTTAGGAATATTTTTAACCAATATAATTAAAATTTAAATTCGTTTTATAAACAAAAACTTACTTAAAAATTTTTTTAATTTTTTTTTTCAAAATCTAGTTTTGCCCAGTTAAGCAATTTAACATGAAATTTAAAATATTTTATATTTCACCAAAGAAAAAAACTTCAAATCTATTTTACAATTTTAAAAACTAACTTAAAGGTGATTTTGGAATTTCATCTTAATGTCATTTGATCTATCTTAAATTTATTTAATAGTTGCAAAAACTAATATTTGAAAAATCCCATAATTTCATAACTGAATTGGTTAGTAAATTCGTTTTAAAATCACAAGATCTACTTATAAATAAAATTCTTTAAGAAATTTATTTACTAACTGAATTTCAATTACTATATTAAATACCTAATTTTAAACAAAGAATTTTAATCCTTTGATTTTCCATTAAGAGTTCTCTACCCTATAAACCGAAATGCGACCTTCAAATGCGAAAGAACATTGAAACATAAATGATGTTTCAATTGAATTAATATTTCATTGAAACATTGATATTTTCATTGAATTAATATTTTATTGAAACATAGATGATACTTCCAGTGAATTAATATTTCATTGAAACATTGATGATACGTCAATTGAATTAATATTTCATTGAAACATTGATACTTCCATTCAATTAATATTTCATTGAAACATTGATGATACTTCCATTGAATTAATATTTCATTGAAACATTAATGATATTTCAATTGAATTAATATTTCATTGAAACATTGATGATACTTCCATTGCATTAATATTTCATTGAAACATTGATGATATTTCAATTGAATTAATATTTCATTGAAACATTGATGATACTTCCATTGAATAAATATTTCATTGACACATTGATGATACTTTCATTGAATTAATATTTCATTGAAACATTAATGATATTTCAATTGAATTAATATTTCATTGAAACATTGATACTTCAATTGTATTAATATTTCATTGAAACATTGATGATATTTCAATTATAACTTGGCCCCAG